ACACACTTTTATATTTTCTTGTAAAGCAACAGCAAGTGCTTCAGAGAACCTAATCTAGGTAGATTTCTTGCACAGGGAACTTCACTTTGTCAACAAGGTGCATGCAAAGTCTTTGCCAGAAACACACTCCCGGTGATTCCATTAAAAGTAGATGCTGCTACACTACAAAGCCATAATAATTAAAACAGTTTGGTATTGGAACAAAAACAGACACACAGACCAATGGGACTGAATAGAGAGCCCAGAAATAAAGCCACACTTATATGAACAACTCATTTTTGACAAAGGAGCAAAGAATATGCAATGGAGCACAGACAGTTTGTTCAATAAATGGTGCTGGGAAATCTGGCCCTCCACATGCAAGAAAATGAAACTAGACCACTCCCTCTCACCGTGCACAAAAATCAACTCAAAATGGATAAAAGAACTGGACATAAGACCTGAAACCATAAAATATATAGAAGAAAATATAGGTAAAACACTACAAGACATGCATTTCAGAAACATCTTTAAAGACATCACCCAAAGCAGTGATAGTGAAGGCAAAGATAAACACCTGGGATTACATCAAACTGAAAAGCTTCTGCACAGCAAAAGAGACATTAACCACCACAGAGAGACACCCCACTGATGGGGAAAAAGTCTTTTTATTCCATTCAACTGATAAGGGACTGATCACAAAGATATACAAAGAACTCACACGGCTCAACAAAAACAAAATAAACAACCCAGTCAAGAAATGGGCAGAAGAACTTAAAAGACATTTCTCCAAAGAGGAGATGCAAAAGGCATATGAAAAAATGTTCAACATCCCTTATAATCAGGGAAATGCAAATCAAAACCACACTGAGATACCACCTTATACCAGTAAGAATGGCACATATCAAAAAAACAAGTAACAACAAATGTTGGCGAGGATGTGGTGAAAAAGGAACTCTCCTGCACTGCTGGTGGGAGTGCAAACTGGTCCAACCACTGTGGAAAGCTGTCTGGAGGTTCCTCAGTCTACTAAAAACGCAGCTACCATACAACCCGGCAATTCCACTCCTAGGAATCTACTCAAAGGACACAAAAACATTGATTCAAAAGAGCACCTGTACAGCTATGTTTATTGCAGCACTATTTACAATAGGTAAAACCTGGAAACAACCCAAATGCCCAAAAATAGATGCCTAGGTCAAGAAGATGTGGTATATGTACACAATGGAATATTATTCGGCAATCAAAAAAAAATAAACTCATGCCATTCACAGCAATGTGGATGGAGCTAGAAGGAATTACGCTCAGTGAAATAAGCCAGAAGGGAAAAGAAGAATATCAGATGGTTTCACTTACAGCAGGAATATAGGGGAACCAAATAAGACATCAGTGTAAAAAAAAAAAAACAATAACAGTACAAAACACAACAAAGCAAAAACAGACAATTACAAACCAGAGACATCCTGCAGGGGAGCAGGAGGGAGAGCAATCAGAGGCAGGGAAGGAGGAGCACAGGAGACTGTGGTGATGGTGCACGGGTGCCTTGGGGATGGAAATTCTATGGGGACAACACCCGAGGGGGTGGAGGGAAGCAAATATTTAAGAAAAGTAAAAATTAAAAAAATAAAGTAGATGCCGCTAAATCATTTGGAGGAGTTGATGGAATCTCCAATGCACAGTGAGAATATGTGAGCAATAAGGAGCTGGGTGGGCGTCTGATTCAAATGTCCAATATCCAGCTATCAAAATCATCACAGCGACTACTGGCATGTTTTGTTGACCTGGGACACTACACTGAAATGCCCCCAGGAAAGTTTGTGAGCTCATGTCCATCCTCCCTCACACCTAAAACACATCAGCCTCCCCTGACCAAGGTGGGGCTCATGCCCTTCCTTCAACCTATGAGCTTGTGACAGGTGTCTTTGGAGACTAGGCCTCATGATGCCCTCTACCAAGGAGGGGCCCATGGACCTCGGTGGGGCGGGGGCAAGACGGTCGCAACGGTGTGATCACAGACATTTGAAGAAGTGTGATGCTGTGGCCCTGAGCACACACAGTGCTGTAAACCAGCGTTACTTCACTGAGAAACATTTAAGTAAAAATAATAATCGGGTTGAGAATCCTTTTTTAAAAGTCTGCAACCCAGCTGGGCATCCTCTCCCCACATCCCTGGTCCCTGACAAAGTCTACTGTTGTGTTCCCTCAGGAGGACCCTGCCCGGGAACTCCCTCCGGGCCAGGCCTACTTCCCAGAGGTGTCCAGAAATGGCTTACATGGTCACCCGCCACGGAGTGTGCTCTCGCGTGAGGTCCTCTGAGGGTGAAAGAAAGCCAAAGATGTGTTTACACAGCTGAGAGCAGGGCTGGGGGACCTGGATGCACAGGGGTTTAGGGATTGTAGGGGGTGCCTAAACACCCAGGGCTCTCGGGGAGCAGCTCTGGGTCTCATTCTCAGCTCTCTGCCAGGACAGCTGCAGCTCCGGCCTCATCTCTCCTCTCTGAGACTGAGGTCAGCCAGGCCCTTCCCTGCGCCCCCGCCTCTCCCCAGACAGCCCCCTCCCTGCAAAGCCGTCCTTTTGCCCTTAGTGTTGCGTTTCTGTGCCATTGCTCAAGCTGCAGAGCTAAAACATGGTCTCCAATCTTCTATCAGAAAAGGGAGCTCAGGAATGCAGGAGGGAGGGGGGCCGCCGGGCAGGGGGTGGGGAGGACGTGACCTTCACATGCAGATGTCCGGTTGGACTTCAGTGTTTCCAGCAGGAAAATTCCTGAGGCTGAATCGCTGGCACGTTCCTCTAGTCTTTGGTGTGTGTGTGCTTGTGTGTGTGTGTGTGTGTGTTTGTGTGTGTAGCTGCGGGGAGCTGGGAGGAGACTAGGCTTTGGGATGTGTGTGTGTGTGTGTGTAGGTGTTTGTGCTGGGAGTTTTGGGGAGTGTGTGTATGTGTGTGTGTAGCTGCGGGGAACTGGGAGGAGACTAGGCTTTGGGATGTGTGTGTTTGTGTGTGTAGGTGTTTGTGCTGGGAGGGGTGTGTGTGTGTGTGTGTGTGTGTGTGTGTGTGTGTGTGTGCTGCTGGGAGGAGACAGCCTCTGCAGCCTGGGCAAGCCTCTGCCCTGCAGCTCCCCAGGGGGCTGTGCCAGCCCTGCGGGTCCCCAGGGGGCTGTGCCAGCACATTCCCGGTCAGGGGGCCAGGCCTTGGGCTCGCTGCTCCTCCCTCCTGGTCACTCTCCAAGCCCGTCCCTCCTGCTCTGATGTCTGGGACAGGCTCCTTGGCCTGGTTCTGGGCCTGGGGGAAAGCCTGGCCTTGGGGGAAAGAAGCAGGAGAGGGGGTGCCCCCCCCCAGGCTAGGAGCTCCCCGAGTCTAGCGCCTGACGCACACGTTACCACGCGCGTTTTCTCAGCGCTGCAGACCAGCTTGCAAGGCAGTGAGGGGGAAGCAAGTGTCCTCGGGGGGTGTGCCCGCCTCGCTTCTCTGCGGAAGAGCTGAGCTCTCTGGGGACAAAGACGGACACTGCAGAGGAGACATGAACAGAAAATCCAAAGTGTGTGCACAAAGGGAAGCAGGAGAGAAGGAGAAACAGGTCAAGCGTGGTCAGAAATAAGTGGCAGCCAGGGCCTCCCCAGTGGCGCAGCGGTTGAGCGCTGGGCTGTGAAGCTGCCCGTGGCCTCTGCGGTGCCAGTTCGATCCCCGGCTGCTCCCCGGCCACTGGAGGAGGGTCCCACATGGCGCGCAGCCCTCTCCTGCCGCCCGCTGCTCCCCTCAGCAGTGTCCTTCGGTCCTTCTGCCTGCTCTGCTCCCCGCTCTGGCTCTGGTGAATTCTCTCACCCTCCCGCGCTTCTGACTGTACCCAGTGCTTGATATAAATGAATAAATGAAATCTTAAAAAAAAAAAGTGGCAGCCAGACAGGAGAGGCAGAAGAGAGGTGCGGACAGAAGCAGACACCCCCGGGGTAAGACAGCTGTGAAGATGGAGGTAGGGGCCCCAACCCCTAGGAGGTGGAAACGGCAGGATATGGACTGTCCCCCAAGCCTCCAGAAGGAGCAAGTTCCCGTCGACACCTGCACAGAACTGGTCAAGCCAGTGAGTTCGGGGTAATTTGCGCCAACGGTTATGGGGAGGGCGCGCTGGCCGGCCCCGCGGTGCGCAGAGGACGTCCTGGGGGTCTCGCTCGCCAGGCTCCCAAGAGTCCCACTTTTCCTCACGCTCCTTCACGTCCAATATCCGGCGCCTATTTACTGGTTAATAAAAATTTTAATATCTTGATATTTCATTTCATCGACAAGACAAGATCTGTGATATTTGAAAATCATTCAAAGACATAAAAATAAGTACCCATTGCCAGCTTCTTCATCCTTCTCTGCACCCCCTAAATAAGCAACTACAAGACCGTTTTCCTTCTTAAAAGAATGACATCATTGGGGCCTCCCTGGTGGCGCGTGGAGTCAAGACACAACGGATGAAGCTATCAGCAGCCACTGCAACACGAGTTCGATCCCCGGCCAGGGAGATACCCACATGGCGCAGCAGACCTCTCCTGTCTCGCCCGCTGCTCCCCTCAGCAGTGTACTTCGGTCCTTCTGCCTGTTCTGCTCCCCGCTCTGTCTCTGGTGAATCCTCTCACCCTCCACACCTCTGGCTTGTACCCCAGTTCTTGTATGCATAAATAAATAAATCTTTTAAAAAAAAAGAATGCCATCATGCTCTCCATTTTAATACAACCCAATTCTTTAAAAAAAAGTATGTAGGACCATCACTAACTAACTCGTCCTTGGAAATCACTCTGCATCATCTTCTCTAACAGTGTGTTATTATTTATTAACCTCTGGTCGTTCTCAACAACCTGCTGCACTCCCGGGAGGACCCCTGGGTCTCCACCCGGGCCAGGACAGAAACTGACACAAAGCCAGGCCTCACAGAGGGGATGCGCCCCCCCCAACACGGCTGTGGGGAGGCTCCACCCCACGGCTGCGCCCGCCAATCAGCTCCCGGGGCGCCCCCTCCCTGCCCGGCTCTCCCTGCCAGGCCCTCCCCAGCCCGGCCACCTTCCACGTCCCCAGCCTGCGCGCCGGGTCCTTCTGGGCTGCGTCGCCTGCCCCGGGAACAGCTGCTGCCCCCTCCTAGCCGTCCCCCTGCCCCCAATCCGCGCTGCAGGGAGTAGCGGGGCAATCGGTGAGTGGGGTCAGCGATGGACTCTGGACCCGCTCAGGCCTGGCGGGGACACAGGCCCCAGGCCCCAAGGGGTGTCCGGGCCGGGCCGCGAGAGGGAGGGAGTCTGCGCGGGGTGTGGGGCTGTGGGCCGGGGCTGGCTTGGGGTCCCCGAGGGGGGTTGGGAGTGGCAGAGGTGCTCCACAGCTGTCCTGACTCTTGGCCTCTCGGTCCCTTTGCTGCCTCCCCGCAGCTCGGGCTGTGTCCTTGCAGTGTTGCAGGACGCCATGGCCTGCCAGTAGGCAGGCGACCCCCTATTTTCTCCTGATTTCTTTTCTCGCTCCCCAGAGAGCCTTTAAGATTTGAGCTAAAGGGACCCTGGAGGTGATGTCATCTCACCTCCTGGGACTCGCTTGAATTCTCTGGGGGTGTCTTGCCTCTGCCTGAGCCCAGAGGTAACTGAAGGTCGTCACCTCCCCAAATGCCCTAGGCATTCTCGGATTCTGGGTGTGTCTGAGGTGCAGGCAGGGGTAATGGTAAGGAGAGGTGTGGAGAGGTTGGGGGTGCGGGGATTAGTCTGAGCATTTATCTGGAGTGTATTTGTCCTGATGCAATAAGTGCTGGATTATATAGTTTCCAGTCAATATCACCAGCTGGCCACCCTGTTGGCTCCACCTACAATAGAGGGAGAAAGCCTTAAATACAGGAGGAAAAGAGGTACCAATCTGATAATCATGGGAACTTCTTGGAAGAAGCACAGGTCTAACAGGACATGAAAGACAGAATGTATCTGTCTAGACGAGCATCCATCCGCACACCCATCCATCCATCCATCCATCATCCATCCATCCTCCATCCATCCATCCATCCATCCATCCATCCATCCATCCTCCATCCATCCATCCATCCATTCTCCATCCATCCTCCATCCATCCTCCATCCATCCATCCATCTGCCATCCATCCTTCTATCCTCCATCCTCATCCATCCATCCATCCATCCATCCATCCATCCATCCATCCATCCATCCTCCATCCATCCTCCATCATCCATCCATCCATCCATCCATCCACCCTTTCATACTTCAAACTATTTGTCGATTGACTTCAATATTTTCTTTCTTGCTATGGTTAGGTTTTTTAATTTATTAATAAAGTATATGTAAAGTATGTAAGAAGGGCCCCAAAATAATGAATTAAATGCCTGACCAGCTCCTAGGTCAAAAAATAAGGCTTTAAAGACTAGTTTGTCCCATCTTACACTCATTCTTCTCCCTTCCTAGGAGGAGACAGCTATCCCAATCTTTCTATTAATCATTTCCTTGTTTTCTTTATAGTTTTACTATAAAGTTTTACTATATACTCTGTGTATTCCAAAAGCATGTATTCATTGACTTTCCCTGCTTTTTACTTCTGTGTTAGTGGCACCATACTGTACCTATTAAGTTTTTGAGATTCACCCTTGATGATTCCTTCATTTTCATTGCTTATGGTGTGAATATGCTATCATTTATCCATCTTACTAATGATGGACATTTGATGGGAGATGTATTAGTTATCTACTGCTGTAAAAGATTATGCCAACACTTAGCAGCTTGAAACAATACCCAACAGCCCCTGTTATCTCACAGATTCTGTGGGTACCCCCCAGGAGTTGCTTCGGAGAGTGTCTCTGATTCAAGCTATAAGCAAGGTATTGGCCAGGGTTATGGTCATCCCAAGCCTGGGGCTGGAAGGACCCTTCAGTGCTCACTCGCAGAACAGCTGGCAGCTCTCTGACTCCCTGGCTTTGGTAGGACACATCAATTCTTTGCCACATAGTTCATGCAAGTCTCGGCATGGCAGAGTGAAGGCTCCCAGAGAGAAAGCCTAAAGCCAGATTCTCTTTGTAACCTGATCTCCAAGCGACATTCCCATCACTTTTGCTATTTTCTATTAGTTACAAATGAGTCACCAATGCCAGGCCACACTCAAGGAGAGGTAGTTACAGGAAAGCTTGAATATCCGGAGGTAGGGATTATGGGGTTATTTTAAAGGCTGCCTGCTACAGGGGTTATGAACAAATAATGATGTCCTCTAGCATTCTTGTCCTCTAGATGACTCTCTCTGGTGTACAACCACAGACCATTCCCCAGGTGTAGAAGTCCCAGGTGTATAGTCAATTCTACTAGACTATTTCCAAGAGGTTTCCAATGTGTCCTGGCAGTTTGCGCTCCCTCCAGCAGCAAATGAGGTCCCCTGCTGTTCTACACACTTGTCATAACTTGGTTTAATCAATTTTCATTTCAGCCAATCTGTTGGGCTTGGAATAACATTCCATTGTGATTTTAATTAGTTTTTGTCTGGTAACTAATGAAGTTGGCTGTTTTTTTTTCATGTATTAGTAGATCATCATGCTTTTTCTCTATGAAATGCTGGTTCTTGTCTTGACTGATCTTCATATTGGGTTGTCTTTTTCGTTGTTGATTTATTGAAATAGTTTCCTTATATAATCTATGCTAATAAATCCTTGTTAGCGATGGATGCTGCAGACATCTGCTTTCAATTGATGTTTCTCATTTCTTCCTCTGCATCACCTTGTCTGACTCTTTTGATAGACAAAGTTTTGAATTTAAATTTCAAGATACCAGTATTTTTTTTCATAGTCTGTCTTTTCAAAGTTTGTCAATTTTGATAAACTGTTTACTAAAGAGAATAAATTAATTTTATTCTATTTGTTAATACTTTATACCATAATTATAAGTATATGTTCCAAATATGTATACTTTATATATCTACTATTTACTACTTTCCTCTAAAAGTTTTTACAGTTTTGCCTTTGCAATTAGCCTTAATCACCTGGAAACTGAATTTAATGTTGTTTATTCCCTATGTATAATCAATTGTCCTAACACCAGTGATCAGCATGAATTAAATTTTCCATATATGAATGATTTTTGTTTTAAGCTCCTTACTCTCTTTCCTTATCTATTTGTCTAACTCTGCATCAATACTAATTTTTAACTATTATAGTTTTACACTAAAACTTGGAACCTGATAGGACATTTGAACATTTGACCATCCATATAAATACTTAAACAAACTTATCAAGTTCTTTAAAACAAAACAAGAAGACAAACCTTCTGGAGTTGTTCTTGGTTTTGCTTTTATTCTCTGTATCCACTTGGAGAAAATAACCTCTTTAAGATGAAGCTTTCTTTTTATGAACTTGGTATATACTGCTATTTATTTAGGCTGCCTTTATGTTTTTAACGTTTCATAATATTTTCATTGTTTTCATTTTGCTCATTTGTGTTAAATAGATATAAGTATATATATATTTACTACTATTATAAATTTTTCTGTTATAAAAATTATATTTTGTAGCTTATTGTCGCTGGCATGTAGAAATTCAATTCTTTTCATATGCCATATGTATGATTACATTTCAATCAGACTTAAACTCATCATCATTCTAAATTTACCTATAGATTCTTTCAGATTTGCTATGCAAGTATCTGAAAATGTATCTGAAAATGACAATTTTATGTTCTGCTTTCCAATCTTTATACCTGTAATTTCTTTTTCCTGTCTTACTGCATTGACTAGGATCTCCAATATAATATTGAAAATGTAAAGAAGGTTTTCTTGTTTTATCCTTCAGATAATAAGGAGAAAGATTTCATTATATCACTTTTAAATATGGCATTTGCTGCAATTATCTTTTAATGCCTGGTTCCATGATAAGAATGTTTCAATTCTTCCTTTGGTAAACACTTGTATGATGGGTAGATGTTTTATTGAATGTATCTTCCGTAGCTATTCATTTTCTCATATAATTTTTTTCTTTAAATATGTTAACATGGTTAAGTATTCAATTTTTAATGTTAGATAATTTTACATTCCTGGAATAAATACTCCATGGTAAATATGCAATAACTTTTATACATAAATGTAGATACAAAGAGAAGCATTAGATAGTTATATCTATGTATGTGAATGTAGGCTGAGATGTAATTATCCTTTTTGGTAGGAACCCTATCTGTTGCTGATATCATATCATTAAAAATGATGGGTAGCATTCTCACTACTGCTGTTCTCTGGAAGATGAACAGCAAAATAGACTTATTTTGCTAATTTATGCAAAATAGACTTATCTGATTCTTAACTGTTCCCTCACATCACCAGCAAAATCCTGTGTTGTAGTTTACTTCGCCAAAGGATATAAAACTTTGGTTCAATCACTTTAAGATTTATAGGACTGTTTTTGTATGGGGTAAGTTTTGGCAGATGGTATTGTCCAAGATATTTAACCATTTCAATTAATAGAATAAAATTGTTCCTAACATTTTGTTATCTGTTTAGATATTTCCATCATCTATTATTTATGTGTAAATTTTATATATAAATTATTTTTGTTTGCATTAATTTTGCCAAAATTTGAACTACTTTATTAGCTCTTCCCCATACACACAAAATTGTTTATTTTACTATGTTACTTATTTTCCAGTTCTTCCTGGTGTCACGAATTTTTCTGTAATTTTTTTCCTAAGCCCCTAAGTTACATTATGCTTAGTACATTAATTTTTGAGCTTTTCTTCTTACATAAGCTCTTGTGTCTAAAACTTTGCATCACTGCTTTTTATCTACATCTCCCAAGTTTGATATGAATATTTAGTTATGTTGCTTTAATATTTATAATTTATGGGTTTTTGTTTGAGTCATGAATTTCTTAGACGTCTGTCTTTTATATCCAATCACATATATGAAGATTGTCAATGTTGCCTTATTTATAATGTAGTTAGAGAATATATGATATTAATTCCTTTGGGTTTTTTAATTTCTCCTGATAATCTAGCACATTTTTTTATTTGTATACTTAAACATAATGTCTAATCTATAATTATATAATTCCGACATATTTTTAGAACAAGTATATTAATTATTCAGTCTCATTTGATCATGGTATAAGAGCCTTCTAATGTATTGTTGAATGTACTGTTGTAAAATTTTGCTGAGGATTTGATTTTTGCATTGATTTTCTCT